TTTTTTTTTTAGTTGTTGATGGACCTGTATTGTATTTATTTATATGCGGTGCTGAAAATCAAACCCAGTGCCTCACAAATGGTAGGCAAGCACTCTGCAACTGAGCTACATCCCCAGCCCCAAATTTTCTATATCTTTACTGACAGATTCCTGGATTCTACCTGAAAGCCTTCTAAGAATGGAAGTTCTCCATTCTACCAAGAAATCTATCATGTAACTTAACAACTCTGGGTGTAAGAAAGTTCTTTTCTATATTAAATGGAAATGTACTTTCATATAATTTAAATTCATTGGTCTTAGTTGTGCTTTCTGGAGTCACACACAATTTGACAGACATTACCATGCTTCCACTCTTTCAATCTTATGTTTTTATTGTAATAAAGGTTTTTATTAAAATAATAACACATTTAGAGCAAGAATTAAAGAAATATAACACCTGAGTGAACTTAAGTGTCTTTCCATCTCCATCTGCCATCTACCCATCCCTCCATTCATCGCCCATTTCCTACTTTACCCATCTGCCCATCTTTCCAATGTATATAATTAGACACTATGCTAAGTTCTGTGATACAGACAGGAATAAGAAATAACCTGTTTAATGCTATTCATAGTCTGTCCTATGAAGAGTGCTGAGAATGCAAACCATGCCAGAGTAGAGATATGGAAGTCACAACACTTGCAAAGTCAAATATTTGTCTTATCCATGCCCTGCCCTTCTTTCTCATATGCAAAGTACAAATGAGAGCCCAAATACTTTTGTAATCCACTGAGCAGCTGCGCCCACCCTGCCCCCAAAGTAAAAGCTGCTGTGGGATCTTACAGAGTAAGTGAGAAAGTAACAACCCTTACTGAGGGGATGAGACCCAAGTCATACATGGTTCTACTTGGTTCTCCACAAAGCAGAAATAGAGGAAAAGAAGCGAATGGAAGCAGGAAGTATCCACATTTTTAAAACAGTTCTGCTCTTAAATTTGCTGTCACGCTCCCCACTCTAGTATGTATCCTCAGGGTCACCTTCCCAGCTTAATTTTAAGAAGAGAGCAAGATGGAATTCAGCTTTGATCTGAATATGAATTTAGGTGGCAATGAGTTTGGCTATAACATTTCTACATCACTTTCGAAATTTCAAAGGACAGTGGGAGGGTAGACCTTACCTTTCTGATTAAAGCTAAATCTCGTTGACTAAAATGCATTGAAATGACCGGAGGCAATATTTTTAGAGAAATAATTCTCTGCTTCTCCTTTAAAGTCACATCAAAGTAGCAAAGATTCTGAGTATTGCTAAAGCAATAGTTTTTAATGTCTCTGGCAAAACTAATTTCTAACTTAGGGTTCCCAACCAACTCAGGATCACCATACATTTATGAGATCTATCCTGGGGCCAAATTTACTTAGGGAGTCATTAAAAATTTATAGGAGGCATTTCACAAGGCCATTTGTTTCACATGGTCTGAAGGAGAGATGAAGATGAAGGAGGGTTGATATTCTATAGCACAGTAGTGAACTTGACCATGTCATAACACTCTATTATCCCTCTGCATAGGTGGGGTGACAAACCTATGTTACTATTTCTCAACAAAAGGTCTGTAGACCTTCTTCTACAGTAGAGTACCTTGGCTTGCTGGCCTAAAATGCAGATTTGGAGGTTCTACCTTAAAGCCAATGAATTAAACTCCATGGGGGTGGGCCTTGAGAATAAACTTAAAAAGAAAAAAAGAAAGTCATTTTTTATGATAACACCTGAATAGGGAGATGCCAACATCTGACTATGAAGTGGTTTCTTTCATCCTGAGGATCTTACTTTCCCAACCTCACAGATGCCTAAGTTACCCATTTTGTTTTCTAGAATGTTCTAACTGAGATCTATCCTAGAGTCTTTCTAGAGTTCTACATCCAAAAATGACAATCTCTGGGAAGCAGAATTATACATCAAATTTTAGATGTGATTTTTCAGCTAGTTATTGTATAGTTAAAAATGTCAACTTCACTAAATATAGCCATGACCTAATGTATTCTTGATGATGTATTCACTTGTTGAATAAATATTTATTAGATGTGTATTATGTGCCAGGCATTAGGCCAGCAGCATCAGTGAGTGGTCATAAATGTCTTCTGGCATCAGAGATGGTCTGCAATTAAATCCTGACTCTTTCAGTAACTAGCTGGAGAGGGCTTGAGACTTACTTAATCCCTCTGTGTCTATTTCATATTCTGAAAAATAAAAGGAGGACAATGATAATACCTATCTCTTGCAGCTGTTATTTAAAATAAATGAGTTAATATTTTTAAAGAATTTATGATAGGGGCTTAGGAACTGACCAATAATCATTAACCATTAGTCACAATAATATTAACAAAACAAAAATAGTAGATTTGTTAGCTCCAGTTCTAAGCAACAAATGCTCTGTAGAAACTCCTTCCAGAATAGAGTCTCTCCCCTAGTGTAGACAATCTGCTTTGTCCTGCTTAAGTAACTAGAAAAGGCACATTTTACTGGCTCTTGAACCACGCTTAAGTAATAAACTTCCTCAAATTAACAAACAACTAATTACATCACTGCTATTTCCCCATCTTATAAAAGAAAAATCTGAAAATTATGGAAACTTCTTGTTTCCTGCTTTACCAACCTTTCTGCCTCTCTTCAGGTCCAGAAAAATGGGGATCAAGGCCCTAAATTGATGCATCCCTGCCATTCTGCAGGGATTATGCTTGAGCAGTTTGAAGCCTGGGTGCAGCATGGGACTGGGGAGGCAGGATCCTAAGCTCTGGGCAAGATGGGGTGTTCAGAAACAACCTGGGCACTATTCCCAGTGCTTGGTGCTCACTGCTTTGCTGTCTCTAGTCCCCAAATGTGGCTTGGTAAAAGAAAGACTTACTGTGGTAATAGGGAGGCCTGAAAGTCTTATCAGCAACCCCCCATCGAGGTGGGAAGATAACAAAATCAGCAATGGCCACTCCAGGGCGGACAGACTTGGCAGTTAACACTGTGAAAATGGATGGGTCCTGTAACACAAAAGGAAAGGCAGAATGCATGATGCCAGGAAGGGACTGGACAATGACAAATACGTCACCAGCACATGAAGCTGCTTTCAAGTTGACAGTCTAATTTCTGATCCAATGACAGAAGTCTGGACTTCTGCTAGAGGTGCACTAATCACTCATCTGACTGTTCCCTCGATGTGCTTGAAGCAAAACGAATTCACACCAGCTAAGAGCATTCTGAGCTGCCTTTTCACCCTGCTGAGCCCACATTATCCACACCCTGCTACCCTACTAATCCGAGAGCCATTGTGTCTGCCTTCCAATCTTGGACCAGAGTGTCAAGGAGCTCCAAACAAAAGATATGCTCAGAGAAAAGTGGACACAGAAATAAAACAGCATTTAAGTTTTGGTGTTGATGGGCTTCCCTTTGGGGGGATCAGAGATTCCAGATGGTAACCATGGAAAGTCACTGGTTCATTGCTTTCTGATCAATTAACTCTCAGATCTAAAATACAACATTTATATCAACTATCTGTCTATCTATAACTATATAGTGATAACTATATATCACCAACTTGTTGGTGATAGTGTAGAGGGGTTAGGTTGAGAGTCAAGATTATGCTTTCAAAGATCTTTAGACTCCTTCAGTGGAAAAGCTGAGATTCAATTTAATTGAAATTAACAATTGTGTTCAATTTCAGATGCCATGCCAACATCTAGGGAGTCCAAGATGATCGGGATTGATTCCCTGCCCCATTAGCTCTAACTGAGGGGAGAGGAAAGAGACTATCTCTACCCAAAAAAAAGATCAGGAAAGGCCTGAAAAAGCAGGTGTCCTTTAAGCCTGGTGTTAAAAATGATCAGAAGAAAGGAAAGAAGGGAGGGAGGGAGGGAAGGAAGGAAGAAGGAAAGGAGGAGGGAAGAAAAGAAGGGGGCCGTTAATCACAGAAAAGAGAAACAACATCCAAGTGCACAGAGGTTTTGTTAAGAGGAGAGATAGTTAAAACCCAGGGTGCATTGACAGAAGGAAGAGGGGCAAGAGGTGGTATTAAAAAATGAGTCCAGGACCAGATGGTGAAGAGCATCAAATACCACGCTTCAGAGCTCAGACTTAATCCTAAGCCATGGGGAGCTTGTGAAGGTTTTCTAATGCAGTGGTGGAATGATCAGATCTGAATTTTGGAAAAATAACTACAGCAGCAGCCCAGAGAAGATTGAACCTGTGTAAATTCAAATGAAAAAAAAAAAAACACAATCTTCATTGCTTGGAGAGTTAACATTGCTTCATCCATCATGGGAAATGGCTAAAACTATTAAAGGAAAGAAAACATAGTAAGGCTAAAATAAAGCTTTATCAGTGCCTCAATATGCTTCTTCATGTTGGTATGGGTTTGGCGCCCCAATTTTCTTTTTCCCTTTGGCTTTATTAAGAGTTACTCTTGTTCAGAAAGGTAGTTTTGTTCCTCCAGAGATAAGCTGAACTGGTTCAGAATAATCCTTCTTTCTCTGATTTTCTGGCTAATTATCCCTCCTGCTTGTGGGCTGTTAATCTATTATGAACTAGGCTGCAAAATGAATTTCCCCCAGGATCTCAGAACTAACACTTATCAAGTATCTGGAGCCTCAGGAGGGTCTACATTGTAGACTGGGGACCTGTTTGTGGCCCCTTAATTGACTGAAAAATATGACCAACTTCATATACTAGGATTTCTTTGGTGGAAGTTCAAGTACTGAATATTATGAGTGACTTTAAAAGAGGGCTGTCTGCTCTATTGCTGTCAATAACAGCCAGGAGTAGAGGTACCTGGGTGGCATCCAGAGCAGTAGGGTAGACTCCTAAGATGTGAGGAGGACAGAGACTTCTTGAAATCCATAAATGTTCTTTTCTCCTGACTCTAATACTAATATTAGCAGTTGTGTGGGTTTTTTTTTTAAGTTTTACCCACTTATGAGAATTATTGTGATTACACTGTAGAGAACTAGGCTGTGTTGAAGGATGATGTTGAGTTCTTGGTATCCTCATTAGCTACATTATTGACACCTTCACCAAAGGACAAATGACTCTCTCTAGGCCTTCCAAGGGTGGCCTTGGAAATACTAAATCTGTGACTGCTACCAATCTGCTGTGGATCCCCTTCCACCCAAAGGTTGCCCCATCCCCAGGACCCCTCCAGACTTACTGCATGGTCAAAGGCCACTGAGTTGATGACCATGAAGTTCTCCAGGTTGTACTTGTAGGGTGTATAGTTCCCGTGCCATGCCACGACATTGAACGGGGAGACAAGCTAATCACAAGAAGGATAAAAAGATGATCTTAGTATCTAATGTTTTTGTAACTGTGATCTTACAGTATATATTGAGCACAACTCTCTTTTTATTTGATATTGTTTAAATCTAATTATACCATCCTTCGAGAGAAGTATATTCTTAATTACTCTGTGGTTGCTTCAAACACCCTTGACCAAGTCCTCAATTGGCTACTGACCCTATCTTTCTAGTTCATAAGCCTTTTGATTACATGTGCAGCAGAAGCACAGTTACCAAGTGGTGTCTCTTCAATGATTTTTACCATAAATATAGCAATCTATATTTATGTGGATGCTAGCAATTCTCAATCTTGGCTACCCTCTGTTTCCTGGTACAGTGGGCACTTCCTATGCAAATCTCAGGCTTTTGCAACCTAGAAGAGCTACCCATAAACATAATGCTTGAGTTGGTGAGTATAGGGGTGGGGAGCAGACCTCTAATATTTCTAGCCCCAAGGATTAGCAACTTCAGAGTGACCCCAAGGTCCTTCTTGATCCTGTATGGGGTAGGAGGGGATCAGAGGTCTGTTATAGAATGGTGGTCTCCAGTGCTGCTTAGGGTCTATTTAGGAAAAAGGATCCAACTCAGAATGTTCTAAGGACTTCAGTGAACAGACTACCCACAGAGGTGTGGTTAGAGATAAGTGGAGGTGTGGAGGTATCTGAGCATCACAACAGTGGGAAGGCATTGTCATTCCTAGATGTGAGAAATAAGGGAGGGCAATACTGTGACAGAACTCCAGCCAGGGCTAGAATCATGAAAAAGAGGTTTCCCAGTGGTATGCTAGTATATATTTAACAACTGGCTTTCTGGGGGAAAAATCATTGATTTACAGCATTTGCTGATTTCTGGAGCACAAATACCCTCACCACAATCATTTTTGTGCAACTAATGTGACATTGCTGAAAACAGAGCTGTGAAGAGGTGTGCATATCAGCTCTTGTGAGTTAACATGAATAAGCTTCTCAGAGGTTTCAACACAAATAGTTCCTGAACCACTTCTGAGAACCCCCGATCCTAAGATGAGGGTGACAATGTATGTGCCTCAAGGGTTGATTTCCAGAGGCAAACTGGTTGGCCTCTGCTAGTTGGCATGACCTCTAGATGCTGTTCAAGGAAAATAACATACCTTGTCAAATACAAGCAATAAATCAGATGGACAAAAAATAACATTAGTAGAAGAGATCTTTGGGTTCTTTTTATTATATGATTAATTTACTTTAATATATACAATATATTAAGAACAACACATAGTAACATTACCAGTTCTATACAGTAATCATTTATAAAGTTATTTTTATTATTTTCTGGGCCTTTGCTTATGCCCTGGGTTTACCAAGCTGGTGATATAAACCAAACCAAGTTAATTAACTGAGTTCTACTTGTTTTGTATTAAACATTATTGGTATTTGAAATAAGGTAGTCACTGCAGAACATAAATCTCAGCTGATCTTCTTGTTAACTCATTTTCCTTTTCAGAACACATTCTCTGCCTGCATATTTTGTTTTCCACAGCATTTATAGGGACCTACATATTTCCAGGATTTTCATTGATTGGTGAGCAGAAAGAGCATAACCTTAGGAGTCAGAAGGATGTGAATTTGAATGCTGGTTCTGCTATTTACAGGGACATTTGTAAATTATTTCTCATTACCTGGTCTGTTTTCAGGTGAAGCACTTTTAGTGGTGTTTTCAAGATGAAAGGATGTATGGAAGGTACCTAATACTGGTCTTGGCCATCAGTAGATACCTTTTCATTCCCTCTCCTGTCTGCCAACCCTCTTATTTTACCTGTTTGGCAGCAAACAGCTTGCCCTGGTATTTATTAATCACAGTGTAACCACCTGGTACTTGACGATCTTCATACCAGGCAACAGGTATCAAGAAATCACGAGGATTGGCCAAGCCATTGGCTCCTAAAACACAGTAACCCAAAGTCCTTTTAGACACTTGAAATCACATATGAAAGATGCTCACAAAGAGAAAGGCCTTCTTTCCGGTTAAGAGCCACTCAACAAATTGCTTTCATTGCTTAAAGACCCAGTTGATTCCTAATCTGCTACCTTTTCTGGAGGACCCAAGGAATTTGATCAATTGGAATTTTACAGTTATCACCTTTATCATCACCAACATCATATCCTAAAGTTTTGGAGTGACTATGTTTTACAAAATCATTTTTACATGCATTATTGATCACTATAGGTGAGAGGAAAGGAGAAGAAAGGACTAGAAAAGAAGAAAAGGGAAAATCTGACCGAAAATCAGGTATTTGTCTTTCTGAGGAAACTCTGATGACTCTAGAACACATCTACAGTCCTTGATCTCAGATAGGAAGGACCACCACCATCATCCCAGGCAGGCCTCTGCTCCTTAGTCAGAACTCAAAATCCAGGACTGTAAAGTTGCTCTCCAGCCTGAAAATCCTATCTTCCATTCAGGGAAAAAGGCTTCAGGATGTGCCTGCTTAGCTCTGCCTCAGAGCCAGTGTTCCCTCAGAGAAGGAAAATAAATCAAAAGACCAAATATGAAAAGCATAAGTGCAAAAACATAATTCAACTCTGAGAGGAAAGACCTGGGGAGTGTTTTATCATTTCCAGCTCCTGGGGTTAAATAAAATAAGCCCCCAGCTGGTTAGTAAATTATATATATTTTCCGAAGGGTACATGTTCCGGGGAACCTGGGGGCTATGCTGCCTGCGGAACAGCAGGAAGCCAGACCAAAGTGGGAAGAGTGGGTGGTGAGCAGGATGACAGACGGCCCACCAGGGCTCCAGCTGCTTCTTTGCTGCCTCCCACCTTCCTCTGAATATTTGGATCCCCCAGGGGAGTGACCAGAAGGCACATGCTGGCCTGTCCTTGTTTTGCTCTGAAAAGCTGTTGACAAGGAAAGCAACTGGGAGGTGTGGCCACAGATGGAACCCAGGGCCAGTTTCCCAGCTCTCCTTGCACTCCAAAGGGAGGCTTCCAGAACAACCCCTCCTAACACCTTCTCTTCTCTCCTGAATCTCCAGCCTCCAGCTTGCCAGAAGAATGAGGACTGGGGGACCTCGGTTCACTTTAGGAAGTTTTAATCTGCCTCATGGCAGCTGTTATTTCTAGCTTTTTCATAGTACTGAGCGATGTACCTTTTTTTTTACTGTTAAGCATGTGGATTTTGTGCAGTGTGCTCAGGAGAAAAGTGAGGTTCCTAGACTATATGTGTCACTCAGTCCCCTCCTCCTTTCCATAGGAATGGCCACCTGGCCATTTTTATGGCTTTCCCCACTTTGTGTCTATACCTAACCTACTAATGTAAGAAAGTAATTATTCACAAAACTCATTCCCATTTGTATGCTTTTGCTTAAATTATTCCCTTTCCTCTTCTCCTCAACTTTCCATCAAGAATTAGTCAAATCTCATCTCTTTTGTGAAGCTGTTTCTGGTGACCCCACCCACAGTAACCCAAACTTCTACATGCTGTGCAGAAATGTATTACACACTGTCTTCATCTCCAACGGTTTATAATATTATTCTAGAAAGAAATTTGTAATGTGTTGGCTTAGGTCATTTTCTGTTATGCATATATTTTATGGGAAGACACTTGGTCTAGCTGAAGAGGAAAGCTGAGATTTGAATGAGGTGGGGAGGGGGAAGGATATTTAGCTTTCATGAAATTATCTGTGTCCTCAAGCAAGGCTGAGAGGCTAGAGTGAAGATTTACCAATGGGTCCCAGGTCAGGTAACTCAAAGTGGACACCATAGACTTCCAAGATGTAGCCCCTGGTCTCCTCAAAGACATCTATGCTGAACCGCATTCCTCTCTGGAATTGAAAGCAGACACAGGGGTGGACTCTTAAATCATACTTGTAGTTATAGAGAAGCTGCCACAGAGCCACAGGCAGTCAGTCCCACATGCAAAAGCAAAGCTCTAGTTTGGTGAGTTATGTTTGAGAGATGACCAGATCAAAGATGAATTAGAAAGAAAAGCTTCATTTCTAATCATGCCTGTGACTCAAGCCAATTCTAGTCTAATTTCTGCCTGGGTCCAGAAGTAAAAGTAGCCCAGATTTAGTCACATTAAAAAATAAATAAAAACAAACAACAACAAAAATAACTTTCACTGCCTCCTACCTTCAATAGAACCTTATCCAGAGTGGGCATAAACACTTAGAAACATGAATGACGAATGCTCTTTGCTCCGTGGTTGTGTGCTATATTAAAGCAAAGCAGCACCCAAGCCTGCTTACCCTTCGGCACATGAAGCCTTCTGAGCAACTCAAATTCCCTCCCCCTTGCCCAGACATGACAGAGAAATTTTAGAGTTGGAAATAGAAGCGGCTGAAACATCTGATTGCTCCCAAATTAGGGAGAGACAGGGAGGAGAAGGGGGCACATTACCAACCTGAATGACGCAGATCTCATTGGGCTGCACAAGCATCTTGCCAAACTCAGTGTAAATGAGAAGCTTCCCTTTCTGCGGAACTGATAAAAAAAGACAGGGCATTGGTGAGCAACCCACTTTGTGCAAGAACCATTTCATAAAGGCTTAAGGGCTGCATTTGCTTTTTATTTCACATAAAAAGAGCTTTACTCTATGTCTGGCGGGGGCGGGGGGAATGCATATTCCAATAACTTCAGTTAGTTATTTTACTATCTGGAAGAATGTGAATAATAATAATAATAATAATAATAATAATAATAATAATGATGATGATTTTTTCCCCCAGCTTCTAGGTGAGGAACTTATAAATGTACAATTTTGTGAATCGACAAAAAAAGTGCATTGCATTTCTAATGTCTATACCAAAATGTTGGTTTCAAGATATTAACACTAAAACCACCAAATGGAATGGGAAGATCGGGAAAAAAAAATGATTAGACCTTACATTTTAGATGGTCTCATGAAAGTTGGTATTTCTATTGCAGTTATCAATGACAGATGGGCTTTTCTTGGGTAAGTTTGAAGGTAAACAGAGTTATATTTAAAAAAATTTTTTTAGTTGTATATGGACACAATGCATTTATTTTGTTTATTTATTTATATGTGGGTGCTGAGAATTGAATCCAGTGTCTCACACGTGTTAGGCAAATGATCTACCACTGAGCCACAACCCCAGCCCTCAGAGTTATCTTAATAAGTTAATCACATGCTGGTACCACTTATTTCTTCTCAACTGCCTAGATCTCTCACATTAGAAAGGCCCAGAGAAGATGAGCAAAGGCAGAAACCAGGAAATAGGAGTTTTGAGGTATGCAAGGAATCTTTTCCAGACCACCAATGGCCTCTAGACTTCAGTCTATAGATTGCATTAAATTAAATAAAACAGATTTGAGAATGAAGGAAAATAATAGGTCGGAAATTAGAAAGCAGCTTGTGGCTAGAGATCAATGAACAGTGAAGGGGTCTGAAATTTTCAGAACTTACCAATCAAGAAGTCCCCATCTGAATTATAAAAGCATCTGAAACATACAGAGTATTTCCTGTCAGCTTCAGTTTTAACACTGTCTAGACAAGTGAATTCATTCTACAAATTATTGCTTTGTGCCTACTATGTACCAGGCTTAGCACTAGGTATATCATGGTGAGCAGAACGACCCAGTCTTTGCCCTCATGGAGCTTAGAACCTGGTAGGGAGTCAGACTGCAAATAAACAATTACAGAACTAAATCACTGCAAACTACAATAGCCCATGAAAGTCAAGTTCAGATAAATGAAAGAAAAGGGATCTGCACTAGTTTGGGGAGATAGCAAAAATTTCCCTGAAGGTGGGACTCTTGGCCTGGGAACTGAAGGTATTATCCAGGCCAGGGGAGAGGACAATCCAGACCAAAGGACCAGCATGCACAGGTTGCTCTGTGGCAAAAGGGCCCATGCAGGTTGAAAGAAGTGAATGAAGGCCAGTGTGGCTTGAGTGGAGGGGAATGTGGCTCAATATGAGGCTGGACTAAAAGGAAGGTTGTCAATGACTTGCCATAGGGCTGTGATCTTGGTCTTCATTTGGGGCTCAGAGAAGTTAAATGACTCATGCAAGACTGAAGTTGGGTTTTGGATGCAACATCTGGTTCTACTGGCAGGACAAAACAGCTGCACTAGTCTGCTTCCCAAAGAAAATGCAGGAATGCCATTTACCTTTTTTTTTAAAAAAAAATAATTATTTTAAAAACGCCAGTATATAAACTGCTTTTCACAGAAAGCTTGAAGCCAAGTCTATTAGCATGGCCTGCCACTGACAGGTGGCCTAATGACTGCCCCTGCTGTGACTTTGATCTCAAGAGCAGAACTTAGAAATTGAGAATATTCTGGCCCAAACCCACCTAAAGATAAAATGCTTTTTGTACCACACCTTCATTCCGGGGTCTCACCTTCCTTTTTTTTCTGTTGACCCTCTTGTTTGTCACAAGAGTCAGTAAAAACAGAAAATGCTTATTTATATTTCTCTGAGGGAAAAAATAACAAAAATAACAATGTGCAGGTGTGACTTTGTAAAAGTGGATACTTGTCCTTCACCTTCTGGCAACAGCCCTTGGGGAATGGGGATGCCCAGCCCTAGCACTGAGTCCCTTACCTGTTCTCCATGGAAGTGTTGCACAGGAAAATATGGACAGCAAGCCCATTGTTAGACCTGATGTCTCCAGCTCCACACAAGGTGTGCAGACCCTGGGAGAGACCCATGGGAGACAGAGGTTGAATACTAGTTGTGCCCAAGAGACCAGCCTTCGCCCTGTCCCCCGCATCCCCCTACCCCTGCCAAGGTCATGAGGCAAGGTTTCAAAAGGCTCTCCCCTTGGGGACCAGAGAGACATTTGGGATCTGGGCTAACTCTGGGGAGCCTGGAATTTACACTTATGTATGGTTGTTTGTGGCTCACTCTACCTTTCAGCTGTGACCTGAATATGGCTATCCTAATGGCTACATCATATAGATTTATGAGGCAAGAGTTCACTAATTTTAATTAATTCAAAAGTGTGCTTAAGTTCAACCTGGAGGAGCAATTCCGTTCGAGGTGATATTAAATATCAAGGAGGCTTAGGGAAGATGGTGGCAGCTTCAGGTGTCGGTTAATGCCCCTCCAGTCCACCCCCATATGAGCAATCCTCTGCTTGTGAAGAGGTCAATCTAACCTCTCCAGAATAGGAAAAAGAAAAATATATTCTAACTGACTATAATTCTCCCTGCTGTGTGACCAGATGATTGATACCCAGTGTAAGGAACACACAATCCTTCTCAGAAAGCTCCCAGCCCCAAAGCTATAGATGGTAGAGCCCAAAAGGAGAAGGTTCTGCTCCTCAGAGACCCATAATTCACACAGGAAGTGGGAATTTTTTTTATATATTTTAATTTGGATTGCAAGTTTGTGGTCTATTGAAGTGATTCTATACAGGATTTTGAAGCATTTAATAAGGGTAAAGAATTTTTCAAGACAATTTAAACAATTTGGCCTTCTGGCTGAATACCTAGACAGTCCCTAGGTAAGCTATGTGCCAAGTTGATCGCAGAAAACTCCACTGGCCTTTTGGAGTCCACCTCCCTATGGCTCCTTCTGGGCACAGGTATTATTACAGTACCCCACCCCTGTAACTGCCAACAGAGCTTCCAATCAGCTATGTACTAACTAGAGCTGCCGTCCTGAGTTGATGCCCACTCATCCACTTCAGGGGTTCATGAACTTGGATGAGAAAAGTTTTCTATTTATTTTCTCTAATCTTTGAGTGAAATTCATTGTTCCCTTTAATTAATATGAATATAGGCAACAAACCACAGCAGTATTAGAGGTGCCTGTGTTCAATAATAGAAATCATGGATATTTTCATGTCATATACCACAGGCGTATCAAAGCATCATTTTTGCTCATATCACAATTATTTCCCATACAGCTCATTCCTTAGTACACTAACAAGAAATCATATGTATGACTATAAATCAAACACAATTTGTTTTTTGAAATATTTTTTATCATTGTGTTTCAATATGATTGTCTTCTTTGTGATTTTATATAATTTCTTTCGCACATTAAAATTATAGGTATCCCTGGGTGCAGTGGCATATTCTTGCTACCTAGGAGGCTGAAGAAGGAGGATTGTGAGTTTGAGGCCAGCCTGGGCAACTTAGAGAGAACCTGTCTCAAACTGAAAAACAAAAAGGGCTGGGGATGTAGTTCAGTGGTGAGGTTCTTGCCCAGCATGTACAAAGCTCTAGATTCAATCTCCAGCACTGCAAACAAAACAAACAAAACCCCCAAGGGTGTAATCAGACTATCAAATGGACCCATGGAGCAAAAAGGATAAGATCCTCTGTTCTAACTTCAAGAGAAGAAGCTCGAGGTAGGAACACATCCACTGCCCATTGGCCTTTCTGAGATGTAAAAGCTCACTGTTGTCCTTTGGTGAACCATGGACTCATGTTGTGCCTATAAGGAAGATATCCTTTTGCTAGCCCCCTATGGCAGACACAGGTGAGTTTGTCTCTGCTGCCTCCAAATAAGGCTGCTTCTGTTTGGCATTCAGCCTGTGAATGGTGAGGTCATTCACTCAGAAGAGAGGAGGGCTGTGGGAAAGTGTAGCATTGACTTACGCTCACAAAGTCCACTTTCTTCTGAGAGGGTTTTGGAATCTCAAATGGTTTCCATCTAAGCTGGAAAAGAAATATGCACACAGGAAAATGATTTCACAAAGGGAAAACCATAGGCTTTCTAAATACAATACATAGCATCAGTTACAAGGAAAAAAGAGGTCAGCTGCTCCCTCTCTGAGGTTTGGACTACTTTTGATTTTGTTATTTTAAAATTAATGATAATCCATCATTTCTTTAGAGGGCGTCTACTGGTGTATGTGTGCATGTGTGTGAGTTGAAACCTACAAGAATAAAAACTGTCTTTGTTCCTTAGAACTTTCAATTATAGAAATAAAGAGAAATCATTGCTTTCTCATATAGAAGCTGTTTGTTTCTTTTAGCATTTTGCTCAGGCACATCAGCAAGTTTTGACTGATGCCGCTTTTCCTGCTATTTATAATCAGCTCCTTTTCCTGGCATGCCAGCTTCTCTGTGTGGGCTCCTGACACTGCAGGGGAAGGTTCTACTTCTACTTCCAGCCCTTCGAGTTTTGAATTATTTCCTTAAGAGAAAGAAAAAGCACCCAGCTGAGATTAGATTTGGTAAATGCAATACTGAGTTCAGTTTCTTCACCAAACCCTGCGTTTGTCCCTAGGCTGCCTGATGGTTCAGTTTAAATCATAACAATCTTTAATTTAATAATAAACTGATCTAAAGAAGTGCGAAGAAGAATCAGCAGGTTCAGACCCCGCTTGGATTGTCAGCCCAGCACTTATTAATCAAATAAATGGCAGCCTGACCCAGCCAGGCTGGCAGCTGATATACCCAGCCACCCCAGGGCATAACTCAGGAGTGACCTACACCCCAAGGCTGGCTCCACTGCCTACCGTTCCTGATGAAGGCAGGCTGGAAAGGGCCTCCCTCAGGTCCCTTTTGTATGGGCTCAGGGCTCAGCTCATTTGTATGTCTGATCGGCAGCCAGATGGGAAAGAAAGTAGCAAATACAAGAGATGGCACTGGGGTTATTCTGCCTCTCTGACACACACAGTCAGGCAACAACCTTTATTTCTTAAAAGCAAAGCAGATTGATCACATTCTAAGACAACTTAAAAAGACCTGAGCTGGGGCATGGTGGCACATGCCTGGAATCCCAGCAGCTCAGGAGGATGAGGCAGGAGGATTGCAAGTTCAAAGCCAGTCTCAGCAACTTAGTGGGGCCCTAAGCAACTCAACGAGATCTATCTCTAAATAAAATACAAAAAAGGGCTGGAGATGTGGCTCAGTGGTTAAGAGCCCCTGGGTTCAATCCTCGGTACCAAAAAGTAAAATAAAATAAAATGACATGAAAGGTGGATTTTAAAAAGATCATTCAAATCGTGCTTTCAAGAAGGAAGAAAATACTTTAGGACTGATTCCATTAAGGATGATTTCTCTTGGGGGAAGAGAGGGGTACTTGAAAGCAAGGATGTAGGAAAGGCACTGTTGACGTTTTTGTGCTGCATTTATTGCAGGGGCTGTGCTTCATAGGATGTTTAGTATCAACTCTGACCTCTACCCACTAGATGCCAGTAGCTTCCCTCCAAGTTGTAAAAATCAAAAATATCCCCAGACATTGTCAAATATCCCTTGGGGGACAAATATCCCTTGGTTAAGAACTATGGAAACAGAAGGACATTTCCCTGACCTTAGGAAGAGCCACAACTGAGTACTGTTGGATGCTGTATGTGTGTGCTGGGATTGAACCCACATGTGCAGGCTCAGCATGTGCTCTGCCACTGACACAGCCCCAACCCTGAGCACTGCTGGAGTTTTGAGAGGAGGTTCTGGTCTGCTACTAACTATACCTGCTGCTTCCGTCTAAGTAGCAGTGCAGGGTTTGCATACCAAGGAAAACTGTCAGAAAAAGACTCATCATCTTAGATTTCCCAATGGAAGAGATTTAAGTATCAGATCAATGGTTGCCTGGGCAACCCTTCAGCTCTAACCAGAGATTCCCAACCTGATTTTTCAACCTGACCCATGGAAATTACCTGGAGAGGTTTTGAAACCAAGACCAAATTAAATCAGGATCTGTGAAGGTGGGCCCTGGCATCAGTATTTTATAAAAGCTCTCCTAATGTGCAACTACACTTTAGAATCACCACACCCAACTTGGAGATTCTGATATTATTGCATTGCTGAACCAAATATCATGCTTGGAAAAAAACACCCAGTCAACCAACCAAGCCACAAAACAACCTGACAACCAACCAATCAATCAACTAACCTGTGGCATCCTGGGCCAAATGGCAGGGACAATGCCACTACCAACTAGCAGAGAAATTTAAATAATGGAAGCGTAAGGATCTATAATCTAAGAAAAGAGAGAAGAAAGCAAAAGGGAAAGAAAGAGAGGGAGAGCGAGAGATCCAGCTCTCAATAGCAAGGGAAGTGAGAGGACCTGAAGGGCAGATGAAAAGACAAGCATGTGATGATGTAGGAAGCATGCCTTCCACAGGGCCCACAGCCCGATGAAGCAGTGGCCTTGATGAACCTTCTCTAATGCAAAAAAAAATGATTCCCTTCAAATGACAGATGGTGTGGGGAGAGGAATCATTTATCTCTTGGGTCCGATGGCAGCAGATTGTTCATAGTCTATATTCCAAATGTGTTGGGCCTATTATGAAGGATGATAAAGACCCCAAGGTGATTCTGATAAACTCAGTACCCAGAGAAGGAAGCCAGCTTTGGGTACTCCAGCAAGATTTTGGTCAAGAGCCTTGATGTGATATTTTGGTGAATGTGAGCAAGGGGATTTGGGGAGAGGATGAACAGAAAGAGTCCATGGAGTGCAGGGTATAAACACCTACTGTCAAAAACAGATGCTCAGCTTAATTGTACATATGCTGTGGAGCAGTACCTCTCTGATCCAAGGCCAGACCAAGGGGATGGTGCATGCGGCTGAACCAGGAGACTTGGTTTGGGGTACTGCCTCCAATCCCATTTACTCTGTGACCTCAGGCAGGTCATTTTCTCTCTTTGGATTGTGTTTTCTTACACGTAATAATGAGGTACTGGTAAGAATTATAGTTCCATAAGTCTCTTCAGAGAAGAGCTTTTATAAAAAGTGAGTGCTTATTAGCTTATTCACTCCTTGCTGTGGCCTAAATTGCGTCCTCTCCAAATTCCTATGTTGAACTTCTAATGTCTAATGTGATTGTTTTGAAGATAGGAACTTTAGGAGGTAGATAAGGTTCAATGAAATCATAATTTGGGAGATTCTAATCCAATAAGATGTGTGGCCTTCTAAGAAGAAGAGATCTCACTCTCTTTCCATATGTACTGAGAGGAAAAGCCATGTGAAGATGTAGTGAGAAGGTAGTACAAGCTAAAGGGAAGAGGCCTTACCAGACACCAACCCTCCTAGCACCTTGATCTGGGACTTCCAGTCTCCAGAACTGTGAGAAAATAAATTTCTATCGCTTAAACCATCAGTCTAAGGCATTTTGTTACAGCAGTCCAGTAAGATTAATATAACTCAACAACTTTCTAGTTGTAGGTTTTAATGGTGTATTTTATTCATACTCTATGTTATTGCTAAATGGCTCTCCCATGCAGAATTTCATAATTAAACATTTCAAAAACAATGACATCAATTGTAATGCATGATGTAGTGTCTTGATTATGATAGGCATCAATAAATATTTATTGAATGATTGAATAAGTAAATAAATAAATGGCACTGAGAATGATGCTTATATTTCAAGGAATGAGAATAAAGCAAATTTGTGAGATCTTTCAGAGTAAAATGACATTCAGGCAATAATTAGCAAATTGATAAATATTGTTAGAAACCCAAAGATGATTTCCAAAACATAAGTCAGTTCTTCATGCATGTGAAAAATTATCACTTCTACATCCATTCTAATTTTCTGTCCAGTTCTATCAACTATTGAGCAAAGAGTGTTAAAGTTTCCAGCTATAATTGTGGATTTGTCTATTTCTCCTTTGAGTTCTGTCATGGATTTACATACTTTGCAATTGTACCCTACAAATCCTATTGGAAAATAAACTGTTACTTACTAAAAGTGGGGTGATAAAAATAATTTTAAAAGAATCTTCAAGAGTATCCAAAGTTATAATTAAAAATTCTTTAACATTATCCAAGGAGGAAGACAGATAATTGGTGGCAATATTTAATTTAATATATTTAAATTCATACTCAGAGATGAAAAGAAAATATGAAAGAATCAGTCTCAGTATTTCCAAAGTTAGAAGACTGGGAGTTGGGCTAGATGATCTGAATATCCCTTTCAACATTGAGATTCTTTGATTTACTGAGATTCTATCCAAAATTGCCATGAACTCAATTAAATTGGATGAATTGAAGGCTCTTAATGACATTAACTGGCTAGAAGTAGACATGTCATTAGAAGTCAGTACCAACTATCCAAGAATTTTGAATTAACTTGTGAGTAAGTGATCCTCGTGTTCAAGCAATTATTAGCAGCAGCTATGACTGAGAGAAGTCCAGGGTAATTGGTAGTGGTGAGTTTCAGTCCAGACAGGGAATATAAGGGTGAGTAAAATAAAACAGTGGCTCATTGAATTCCTCAATACAACTAGCAATTTGAGGGAAAAAGTAGAGAGAATCAGGCTTCGATTCTCTCTTTCTTTGATTCATTGGACTTCTTTGATGGGCAAGAATACAGATAGGGAAGATCCAAGTCTCACTAATTTATTTAGATTTTTTAAGTCTTTCAAGAGGCTACCAAAAAAGATAAGCCATACTTTTTGACCTTATCTTTGAAAGTAAAACTAAGGGCTTTATATTCATTATTCAGTGCCATGGTTTAAATGCCATATTATTCAGCTTCCCATTTCTATTATGAAATACCTGAGAGGAATAGCCTATAAAGAGAAAAGAAAGGTTTATTTTGGCTCATGGTCCAAGATTTAGTAGCAGCCCCATTTCTTTGGGTCCCTAAGGAAAGAGGCATATGGAGCATGTGGCGCAGAAAACTGCTCACTTCATGAGCAAGGAAGCAAAGGAAAGAAAGAAGAGGCGGCTAGGGTCCCACTATCTCCTTAAGGGCACACAC